GGGATCAAGACTGCATGGCCATTCCTTTGGGAGGCCCAACTCCAACTCCAACCTCGGCAAACTCTTGGGAGGTTTTTGTTCGGTGAAGGGGTTGACGAGACTTCGTGATTGATGACTCCTTGATTTACTTGGCTCTCGTCATTCTACACGCAACTTTGCGTGTGGATCTTGTATCTTCACAATGCGATTTGATTAAACAGCTGATTTAAAGATCGGCGGTTTCGCCGGCCGTGGTTTTGCGTCATGGGATGCACGGCTTAGTATAATGTTCGGCAAAATTGTTTGGGACAATAAAAGAAAAGCTGAAATGTGCCATATTTCAGTAATTTTCTGGGAAAATTAAAAACTAATTACTTTTAAGGTAGGTTATCGGGTCCCAAGAACGGCATAAATCTAGAAAAAATTGCGACAGTATCCCTCTTTAAATAACGACTAAACCTAAGTTTACTCATTAAAGAAAACTCAGATCCAGGCGCAAATGATAAATAATCGATTTTAGAAAATGCCCCGAGTTTGCATTTTTGATCGGTTCCTTTTGAGCGTTTGCCCATCGTACATAATCGTTATTTTTATTATCAGGTGGACTAAGAAGTTAGAGACTTCTCGAAAATGACGCATTTCATATCCGATAGATTAAAAACAAGCTGTGTTACGCTGCAAAATGTAACGCTGACGCAAAATCTAATAACATCGAAAAGTTATTACATTTTGCGTTGAGTGATTCATAACATCTTGCGTTAGTATTACATTTTGCGGCGATTATTACATTATGCGTCAGTATTACATTTTGCAGCGATCATGACATTTTGTGGCGTAACAAGCCGTTTTGACATCAGCAAGATCGGTTAATAAACAAAATGTTACAAATTAGAATCATTTGAATACATTTCGAATAGCAAAGAACTGATTCTAAAGATCGCGATAAAATATCCTTCCGCCGAAACGAACTCCGCGGTAACTCGCACGAAAATCCATTAAATTCTCTTTCATAGCCTACCATATAACAGATGTATTCGTAATGTTTTCCAAGCCCGGGCTCTTGGTCAGTACGACCAAGCGTAAAAGTGTATGCTGGAAAAATGCGCGCGTCAGGCAAACTGAAAAAATAACGCTTGTCTTTAAAAGCTAATCCCTTGGTTTCCTTGACAGAACTACAATCATCTTCTCTTTGGTTAATTGAACCCTTCCATACTGCAGTCTAAAGCACAGAGTTTTTTTGAAGAAATCGTGTTTCTGTTTTTCTCTTTTTCCGTGGCACTAGTTCGGGTACATTTAACTTATAATGAAAGGTATCCGCACGTAGCTTTGCTTTACTTTGCGTTACTTTGCTTTGCTTTTCTCAAAATCCTCCACTTTCAACTAACTTAGTAACCCCGCTGCGATCAAATTTTGTAAAATTGTCCAAATGTTAAAAAATAGACGATGGACACAATTTTTTTCTTTATTTCTAGTCATTTGTTCATAATTCTCGATATCTTTAACGAGAAGCCGAGCTCTGAGATATCAGAAGTCCGTTGTGATGGTAGAAATTAATTTGTGTCTGGGAAAACAACAAACAACAAGGTGCTTAAAGAAGTCCATTTCAATTTCAATGAATTTTAATTAATAAGAAACCATTGATGAAGACCGTCACAGAGACCTCTAATATGAGAAAACATACGACAAAACAACAATAGAAACCATGAGCATTTTGTCAAACACTTTAAATTCAACTTTGTATAAATTAGAAAGAAAGATGACAGAGGAACTGTCGTAAAATGTTTTTTAAAAATGTCGTACATTTTCTTAAATCAGTGTCCTATCTGCTACTATCCAGACCTCTAATAGAAATGAAGCAAATTCGAAGACGAGCTTTGAAATAACTGTTTCTAAAACCATAGATATTCATACAGAGATTCGTTACTACAAGGAGACTGAGTAAAGTTACTGCTAAAGGGAGAGTTTTCTTGGGTGTTGATTGAATACGGTGAGCTATTAGCAAATGAGAGTCTGTCCTGTGGAAAGTTGGTGTTCAAAGGACTTGTGCAATTTGAATTGGACGCTGGATTCCTTTGCCATCGAAACATTTGTTGCTGTTGCTGTAATTGTTGCATTTGTTGTTGTGTTGGTGCTTGCGACAATTGTTGTGGAGGCAAAAGTTGTAATCGTGGTTGCTTTTGTTGTTTCTGGTACTCTTGAAACTGTTCCTGTTGTTGTTGTTGTTGTTGTTGTTGTTGTTGCTGTTGATGATGATTATGTGAACGTTGTTGTATATTCATTTGTTGTTGAAAGTGTTCTGTGAGAAGCTGTTGTCGGTGCAATATCACTTGGTCCTGCGGTGTACATTGTGTCGATTCGTGGCAGAGCATTTGTTGCATTGCAGGGGCCTGTTGCTGCAATTGAACTTGGTCAGCTTGTCTTTGAAGCCAACGTTCTTGATCATAGTAACTAGTATTCTGTTGTCTTTCGGCGATCCTTTGATGGTTTTGTTCTGAATTAGCAGTAGATCCTAGGGCTTCACTGGGGTAGCTTTCCACCTCCATCCCCATTAGTCTCGTGGATAAAATAGCAGAACTTTCTACTGTAGATTTTTCAGTTCTAGAACCAGTACAAACTTCCCGCAGTTCTTCATATTTTGCCATCATTTCTTTAATCGTACTGTATTCGTTCTCGACTTTCTTTGCAGATCTCTCCTTTTCGAGACGTTCCAGTAAATCTCGCAACTCACCCTGAATACTTATTTGCTTTTGAATCGTAAGAAGCTCTTTCGATTGCTTGTTTATCGTTTCGATAACTTGTACGTACTTTTCTTCCAGGAATTTATGGAGGGCGTGTTGCGTAGTTGTCAAATCAGTGGGAAAATTAATACTACTTAAAAACTGGAAGCTTTCTTGCATATCAATCAGTTGATTGTCTTCTGAATCGTTCGCGTTAGACACTGGCGAACTGCAATTACTCTGGGAATCCAGCGATCCAACTCTTTGAGACCTCGCCCTCTTTTCCAAAGTTGATTTTTCTGACAAATTATTACCACCGATTTCCATCATTTCGCTCGAACAACTTTGGGCATCAGTGTTTTGGGGTATTAATGAGGTACTCGGACAATTATTTTCTTGAGCATTACCCTCGTTTACACGTAATTCAATCGACGCGAATTTCCGTTTATCGCGTGCCAAAATTTCTCTCTGTTTCTCGCAAACTTCATTTTGCGAAACCACCCACGTTAGACTCGTAACTGCCAGTGGTTTGGAATCCCACTCATTGTAAGACACATCGTAGCGTGACTGAAGCCAGACCCATGATTGCCCCTTAGTGAGATGTCGGTAAAAACAAGTCGTGATTTTTCCGTGTGAAAGTAACCATCGATGATAATCCACCAAATTTTCAAGGTCTTCCGTGTGACAGTATTCGTAAAGAGATTTCCCAATTAATTCTGACGGAAAGAATCCCAGAACCGAGGCGACATGTTTGTCCAGGTAACCATATTTACCTTGCATGGTCAAAGTCGCCGTGAAATTCGTTTGAGTCCCATCCGCTTTCGCCAATATTTTCTCAGAAGGAACGCTGGTTAATGGTTTCGCTATTAGCATAAGGTATTCAGAAACATCAGTATCCACACTGCTCTGGGGTAAATTTTTAAGAATTGTACCAACGCAGTAGATCGTTTCAAACTCGTGCGAATCGCGTCGAAATTGACACCAAAATGGCTGCAGACGTTGCGACTGTTTGGTCGTCACGAACATGGACAGTATTCTCTGAAAAATAAATGCATCTCGCGTTCCGATGAATTCAAACACGTTTCTGTTAAGAATACTTTGCGGTAAATGTCCTAAACAAGCTTGCGCATTGTCTGAGACGTAAACAATTTGTCCCGTCTGGTCAAGAGCGATTATTACAATGTTCATCGACTCCAAGTAAACAAAGTTGAATTCATCATCTGTAACGAAGGCAGGATTCACGCGTTTATACCATCCTTTCGCAAGTTTCTCAGCCGCTAATTTTTCCTGCTCGAGAAAATATTCACCAGTGAGTTTCAAAATGGAACTCTTCTCTGTGCTCTTTTTCGTGTGGCATCTGTCCGCCAAGTAAACAGCAAGCTCATCGATCAGTGCGTTGAATCTACCACGACGTTTCTTCTCGGTCAGATTGCGATCAATACGTTTGCTTTCACAGTCGTCGAACTCTGGCCGCACGAGTTTAGACGGCTGCATGTTCCCTTTCTATTTTTTTTTTTTTTTTAACGTTCCTCTCGTCATCTGTTGGCAAAGCGAATTACGACACGACTCCGTAGACTGAATCCCGATAAGTGAATATGGTTTGTTAAATGTGATTGGTTGATTTCTTGAGGTCGCTTACAGACCAGGACAATCAATTCTCCGAGGGATTTTCTGCACGCAATTGCTTTTCCTACGATGTTGATTAATGAGGACAAAACCTGCGGTATGAATACTTTTTAGTAATGACATTCCCAGTGTAAAGGTCAGATTGAATAATACCTTTGCAAACAAAAAATTATTTTAAGAGATATGATTCCGCTAACCATCCCCTTGACTACTGTCCTCTGAAACTGCTTCTTGATTGAAGAATTATTTCTGGCTTGCAGGTGAGTTTGCTCTCTACAACAAAGGTATTTTATCATCAGGAAATTTGCTACTTAGAAGTGAACGATTCTTTCAATCCGAGAGAGTGATTTTCTTGTAGCCATTTATTATCATATAAGGTATTTACATGTATGATAAAGTGCCGACCTGGACATCAACTTCGCCTTTCAATACAAAAATTTCAATCTGGGCTCCACCCTCGATTTAAGCACAACACTTGCGAGGCAGGAAACTTATTAAGAATTCGGTAGGTGTTTCAAATAAATGATTGGTTCTGAAACATCACAGCTCGTCCAGTCTGCAAACACGCTCTTGTGACGACCAGAAACTGCTAGCCTTGTTTTTCTCGTGGCACGAGTCAAGGTCAAAATAAATGTTGTAGTAGCACAATCTGTACCGGAGGAATATTATTCCATCCGAATCGGTTTGTTCTCAAATGACGCTATAAAAACTCAGGACCTTTCCAAACGCTCAAAATTGAGTTTTCAAAGTTCGAGCACTGAGATGAATACATTACAAATGTTAAACCTTATATACGCCCTACAACAAAAAACTAAATTAACAGTTTAGTTCCGCCGAATGTAAATAATGTTTTTGTGAATTTCACCGTGATAAGGTACTGAAACTTTAATTGAAACAGATGCTTCCTTATCGCACAACATCAGGTCACTGAATGCCAAAGGTGCCCTTATCGTGTGACAGTTAACCCCTAGGCAATTAAAGCATCAAAGACGGTGTCCATATGAATTTCGAATTTCAGCTGGTTTGATTAGTTACATCACAGGCGGCCCAAGCGTACTGTGTGTGACTTTGTGTAAAGTGCATAGTAATAACTAACATATTAAGATCGAATTTCAAGTGTACGTGTGGGCCGTTAAAAAAAGGACAAATTAAAAAAAAAAAAATAAGAAAAAATTTAGAAGAATAATAAAAGCGAGGAATAAAACTTGTAAAGTCTCCTAACCTTTTTTCCGTAGCCGCTTTGTTGCCAACGGTCATTTTAACGCTGTTTTGGCGACTTGTTTTGTAACGCGTGCGGTGTCACCGGTCAACTGTAAAATAGGAAAAATTATAAAAAAAAATTAAGAAAAAATTAAAAAGGAGAATAAAAGCGAGGATTATATCGTATGAGGTCTCCTTCCCTTTTTTCCGTAACTTCTTTGTCGCTTACGGTCCATTTAACGCTGTTTTGGCGACCTTCTCTGTAACGCGTGTGGTGTTACCGGACAACTGTGTATAAAAAAAACTCAAGGCTGGAAACTTCAACCGGTCCCGTACACCCGTCGCCACTCGAAGGCCGATAAAAGTCAACCGATCTCCCTCAAATTTCCACCCGCGAGAGCGCTTAGCTATAGCCTACCCGTTCCCGTGGGAAAAGTTTCCAAATTCCTCTGCATCGATCCGAGAGCCGCTCCGTTTTACCATCCATTCTGGCTAAATTGCTTTGTAGGTACGGGTAATCCTTAATCCTTTTGCTGATTATACCACAGGTTTCAAAGATAAAAAGCTTGGCGACCGCGTCTGTCGAATAAATGACAATCTCCCAGGGGAGGGTCGTCACCTTTGTCCTCTCGCAAAACAACACCGTCCAGGTGTCGGTGCGTCTAATTTCACCGGAAACAATTTCAGATGAAACCTAAACTCACGAGGATTTAACTGTCAAATATCCCACGAAAACATGCAACCGTGTCCTTTGATTTCGTCGGGACAATTTTAGTTTTGTCTGCTATTGCGGATAGGCCGGTAACACCACACGCTTTGCAATGAAGGCCGCCAAAACAGCGTTAAATGGACCGTGAACGACGAAGAAGCTACGGAAAAAAGGAAAGGAGACATCATACGATATATTCCTCGCTTTTATTTTCCTTTTTAATTTTTTCTTAATTTTTTTATAATTTTTCCTATTTTACGGTGACACCGCACGCGTTACAAAACAAGTCGCCAAAACAGAGTTAAAACGACGGTTGGCAACAAAGGAGCTACGGAAAAAAGGTAAGGAGACTTCGCATGTTTTATTCCTCACTTTTATTATCCTTCTAAATTTTTTCTTTTCTTTTCTTTTTTTTTTTTTTTAATATGTCCTTTTTTTAACGGGCCGCACGTACGCTTGAAATTTAATATGTTAGTTATTACCGTCAAATGCATTTTACACCCCAAAGTCACACACAGTACGCTTGGGCTGCCTGTGGTTATATCGCTTATCACAAGCCGACAGATAAGATATCTGTAATGTTTCTGTCGGAAGGTTATGTGAGGTACAAATATGGTGAAATAAAAAACAAGCCGCTAAGAGGAAACTTGATGAAATCTCGAGATTTGCTCCTAGTGGATAAAATTTCCCTTATATTGCTCCCCGGGGGGGATTCCCATATTCCCATATGAAACAGACGGGGATGCTCGTCGTCTCGCTTAGGGGTGTAAATTTTGGATTTTGGTCTTGCTTAGGGTGTTCCAGGCAAAGCGCCAATATTTTAAGCCGCCAAGGTCTCGTTTAGGGTTCCGCGAAGAAATACAGAATTACGCGAAGAGAAACAGAAGTAAAATTTTCTTTTTAACTTGTTTTGTTTACCGTATTACCTCAACATTGACTAGTTTTCTATTTTACCAAGTGCCAA